ATGTCTATGGGCCACAGCATCCACTTACCATCAGGTGGATTGTGTATTCATTTGTCATCCCACGCTTTAAAAATGTATCAGGATCTTTATAACAGCTTCAAATAACAACAAACTGCGGTTCTATCCGGATTTTTTTATAGAATAAGGATGACAAACGATCTCACATTCGACCTGATGGCAAGCGAATGTTGTGGTCCATAGACATCTACATTTAACCTCGATTAAGAATCAAAATGCAAATGCGTTGTCACCCCTGAGGATCAAGACGGAATGCCTCGATTTCAGTAAAAAGGGTTCCGGTTCTCTACACTACACACTACGAAACACAGCAGCATAGAGCTGCTATTTTACGTTAGTATTCTGTGGGAGCGTGGTCCTGCCCCGGTCGAGCCGACCCATTCGTGCTACAACCATTATATAGCTGCAGCGTGGCTCTATTACGACACCAACGGGATGATATGGGGTAGAAGATTCTTTATTCCGCCACTACAAGGCGATGATAATGTCACTGGACTTATGGTTATGGCGATGGGTAGTTAAAAAAACTCAGCGCGATTCAGTAATTATTCCTTTTGTCATAATCATAAAAAAACGAGTGTGCTTATGACACGACTGAAGTAAAACTGATATATATATATATATATACAATATGTAACGTAATTAACGCACACCCTCAGACACCCCAGTTAGTATATTATGTTATAATCATAATATATACACTGAATTTTTAGTTAATCATTTTTAGGCACTGATTATTTATCAAATTAGTTATCCTAATTCCGGAAGAATGTTGTGGTCACAGTACAAATCCACGAACGCAAAGACTTTAACGCGCTTGAAATACGAGTAAAGTTCATTTTTCTTTATTTTTATTGAATGACAGAATTAGTATTGCCTTAAGTTACGGTCCATTTCAGTTTGTCTTGGCTGTAAAGATTTAGTGTGACTGTAATTTACTTGGTTTTAATTATTTTAAAAATGATAGGAATCGATTCAGTAAACGATTCTGAACAAACTACTTGGTGTTTTTTTTATATATATATATATATATATATATATATATATATACAGCTCATTCATTCCAAGCTTTGACTAATAAGTGTTTCACAATACGAACATAAACAATTAGTGTTTTATTTTAGCTTTTTGCACTCCTTTACCATATTAAACCATACCACTCTCCTTTCCGTGCGCGCAATATGCTTAAAAGGATGTAAAAAGGATGTTTTCGCCCCGTAATAATATAAAAGATATAAAAAGGACACTAAATACTTTAATGAACAAGTTAAGTATTTAGTATCTTTGATTATTGTAGAAAAGGAGTTGATGGAAATATTTTTGGACGTGTTTGCCACGTATGTGTGTAAACACCATATTTTCCTTGATTTCCTCAATAAATTGCTGAGTCAACTTAAAGTTAAAAATTTCATTGAGTAAAACTGTATTTAATGTCACAATTTTTTTTAATAACCAGTGAAAGAATTGATAAGCATTAGTATTACATTAAAATATATGTCAGGCCATACAATTTTAGAATTGCAGAGGTTTATTCTAATAAATTAAAAATGTGGCACATTAAGTTGAATCACGTACCTATATTTTATATTATTTAATTTAACAAGACCAGGCGTTGGTGTTTAACCTAAAATAAATTTTGTCTTAAATAGCTCAATATCTTAAAAATATGAGAAAAATCACCTAGAAGGCTTATACAATCATTTAGTAGAGCGTGAAATATATCATGTAGATAATCGTTTTGATAGACGTCGTGTTCTTTTTGCTGTAATATAAAGTATTAGCTCACAACGTGTTCGACGGTACAGAAAAATAAAAGTGAAAACCTAGCTTATCTGACGAATATTGCGACTCCAACTCCTCAAAAGAAAACTTACAACGGTGTTTAGTAGTTCATAAACAGGTAAGGCGAACCCTAAAAAGAAGATAGTTACGCCCATGCATAAAAAAGTTTTTTTTTAATATCTTTATTCACATTTATAACAAATGAAAAAATATATTTTCGATTGTCCATTGATTTGTTTTATTGGTTAACTATTGCAATCATATGCTCAATATTGCTACTAGAGTTAATGTCGTACGGTCACGTACGGTCAAATAATACAGTAGGTAGATATTATTTACAGTTGAATACTTAACTGAGGCGTCGGCCGTTAGTTTGGACATAGCGAAGGCCTTCGATCGGGTTTGGCATAAAGGGCTTCTTACGAAGCTTCTTTTCTATGGGCTTCCCGAGAAATTATGCAATTGGATCACCAGTTTTCTTGCAGATCGGAGCATCAAGGTCGTAGTAGACGGTGATGCTCCGCTTTACAAGCCCATTAACGCTGGTGTTCCTCAACTCAACAAGGCTGCGTGCTATCACCAACGCTGTTTCTTCTGCATATCAATGACATGTTGAAAACCGGTAACGGACAGATACGACTTAGGGACCTTCAAGAAAAGAGCCGACTTTTTTTTAAAAGGCCTGCAACACATCTGCAATTCCCCTGGTGGTGCAGTTGTTCATGGGCGGCGGTAATCACTTACCATTAGGTGAGCCGTATACTTGTTTGCTATAAAACTCTCCTATAAAAAAAGATAATTTGTTTGAGCACTACTCTCTCTTGCTTATACCCCCCCTCAACTCCCGTTCGCTTCGACCGATCACACTTTTCGTAACGCTTTCGTCACGCGTTCCTCAGCTTACTTCCCAAGTCAAGCGTGCGCAAAAAGTTTTACTTCAAAAACACTCACGTCTGTCACCCAGAGGAGTAGTCAGAGATTGAGATAAGTTGGCGCTTTGTGATTGTTGTAAAATAGTGACACCACACTAGTAAATTGCATCCAGGCGAAGACGTGGCGATTAGCTATTATTTATTGGAACCACAAATCGCTCTGTCATGTCATGCGGTACGCCGAGTGTCAAACCGACAAAGAATGATAGACTGAGCGCATTTAGATGTTTCAAGTGACGTTGAAACCGTGCGCAACTTCTTGACACGCACTTACACATACATTATTCTTCTTTTGAACCGACTTCAAAAAAAGGAGGAGTTTCTCGATTCGACTGTATTTTTCTAAGTGTGTCGTCACATCAAAATTTCTTTATAGGTAAACTGAATTTGATGATTCTTTTTTTATTTGAAAGCTATTGCTGCTGGTGCTGCAGCTGGATCTGACCAGTAGTGTTTGTGTTATATATATATATATATATTATATCATCACTACATCCCTTCACAAGTCCACTGCTGAACATAGGCCTCCCCCTAGGTATGCCACAAAGCACGGTCCTGAGCCACCTGCATCAATCGACTTCCTGCATGTCTTACCAGGTCGTCACTCCATCTAGTGGGGGGTCGCCCTACACTTCGCTTGCCGGTACGAGGCTGCCACTCGAGAACCTTTTTTCCCCAACGGTTGTCGGTTCTTCGAGCTATATGGCCGGCCCATTGCCACTTCAGCTTACTAATCCGTTGGGCTATGTCGGCCACTCTGGTTCTACTGCGGATATCCTCATTTCTAAGTTTATCACGCAGAGAGACCCCGAGCATAGCCCTTTCCATAGCTCGCTGAACGACTTTGAGCGTCCTCATAAAGGCCACTGGCGACACGCACTGGTTGTACACTTTAGTTTTCAGGTTTTGAGGTTATATATATATATATATATATATATATATATATATATATATATATATATATATATATATATATATATATATATATATATATATAATTGACTTCAACTACATATATGATGTTCACATTTTATTTATATTGAAGTCGGTTGTACAATATTTAAAATTTTACCACTTGTTTATACTGGATGAACTTTTTTACCGTCTGGAAAAAATAGGGTGTAATATGTGAACAAAGTAGAAGCTTATGACACTGTTACCCTACTTTGCGAACAGCGATAGTTAGTAGGCATCTTTGACCTTGTCACTTCGCAGGGTCACAGGCTGGGGTGGATTTTAATTAATTAATTTATTTAATTTGTGGCGGCGCTGTCGTAGCGCCGCAAGCGAAACACATCATAAACAGTATATATAGAACATCTCCAAACTATCACACGGAGCATATATATATGACCGCTCCCCGGGCAGAACACCTTGCTCGGCGGGAGATCTCCCCTTTTCCTTTCAAGGCCACAAATTCAAAATTTTTATTTTTATTTTTCGTAAAATATCAGTGCCATTAGGCTTCTACTTCGTTCACAATTCACATGTTACGCCCTATTTTTTTCCAGACGGTAGATAAGGTCATACAGTATAACAGCTCGTAACATCCTCTGTTAAAACATATCCACACTAAACCGTGTGGATATGTGTGCGTCTTGCAATTGATTTTTGATTCATTTGTGTTACGCACGCAGTGTACGTGTTTTTACTATGAGTAAGCATGGTTTTGGATTGGTTTCAACGTTTATATTTATATTGTACATTAACATATTTCAAAGCTCCTAGTAGGATGTTGCAGTGAAACCACACTCCTGATTTACAGCGTTTTTACGTTTTACTTTTACGTTTCCCCTAGCGAACAACCTTGAGCGTTCAGTCCTATACAATCCACGCGCTCTCGCTACAATATATCGCGTAAAAATACGCCCGAATTTTTGGAATTATTTCAATTAAAAAAGAAAAGTGAACGTAATAAATTAAATAAAACGTGGATAAAACAGATTTTTAAATTATCTATCCATTGGTGTAATCCTCAAACGATTAGAGTGTTGCCTTTAGCAACAGATGCATTTAATCAGTAATTTCAGTCATTTTTTAAAAGTAGATTTTAAATATATTTATAACACATAAAAACAAATTATAACGTGGAATGTGATGATAGGATATCGAACATTAATAACGTGCTTTTAGATGTAGCTTATTTCTCATAATTAGTTATGAGATAATAGTCTCTGAAAAACGCACTTTTGCAAGATTTTGGTCGGGGTACCGCCTTTTCTATCTCAAAAAACTCCAATATTTTATTTAAGCTACTTAGCAACTTACCTGCACAACATCTTGTTCATCTCTTGCTCATATTCTTCCGTAGCGATGCGATATTTTTTTATTTGATCGAGTTCTTCTTGTCGTGCTCGCTCCTATAAAGTTTTTGGGAAAATTAAAAAAACTATAAACTATGCATTGTGATGATGTCTGTCTATTATATACAATAACTGCCTTTCATTGAAGGTGGGTTATTATATTTAAAAAAAATATCTGTCAGAATTATATGTCAGTAAAATCTGTTTGTCAGAGCATAGCCTTCGGAATCGTTGAACTGAATGTTAAACTTGACGGACGGATAAGAGAGCAATGTTAAGAACCATTTAGGCTATATTTTGTCCGAAAAACTTGGAAGATTATTTTTTGTATAAATCGAAAATTGATACAATAAATGGTCTTTGTTGATTGTAGGATTGCCAAATGGTCGGGATTCGTCTTGATTCCCCTAACATTTTAAATGATCTCCAGACTCCCGACAAAACTCAAAATCTCCAGACAAACAGCTATACTTCACATCACAGCTGCTTTTGACTTAATAAAAGCTGAGTTAGTAATAAGACTGAATACTGAAGTAGATTGTTTGAATTTTAAATCTACTGAATACTAATTAAGGATCCAAATTGGTGGACTCAGTAAAGTACATGAGGCAACCTAAAAATTAAGTGTACTTAAATTAGTTCAACAATGTTGTCTTTTTGTAGAGCCTATTCATTCAAAAAATAAACTTTTTGTTAAAACATTTTTATTTTTTAATATTTATTTCTCCCGACACCAACCCCAAAATCCCGATTTTCAAATTATGTTCAGATATTTTGGTCTTCCGATCTGGCATTCCTAGTTGACTGCGTTAAATCTAAAAAATGCCACATTAATAGATCTTACCCAGGCGCAGCCGGGGCGGGTCGATGGTCTATTATAAAAATGTTAAATTTTTCTGAACAGAAAAGTTGGTACCAACATCTTTAAATGACGAAACAATTTTATACCTGGTAGAGCTACGCTGCAGCTATATTATAGTTGTAGCACGAATAGGTAGGCTCGACCAAGGCAGAACTACGCTCTCACAGAATATCAGCGTATATAAATAATATAGCAGCTTAATACTGCTGTGTTTCGTATGGTGAGTGTAGAGAACCGGATACGGGTTTATTTTACATACATACATAAACACTCACGCCTGTCACCCAGAGGGGTAGGCAGAGACTACAGACTTCCATTTGGCACGATCCTGACACACCTCTCTCGCCTCCTTCACATCCATACACCTACGCATGCATGCTCGTCGGTTAAGGGTACTCCTAATTTGGCCCGTTTTCAATAAATCGCCAATTTGGTCGATAAATTTTCGCCTAGGACGTCCCTTTCCCACTCTGCCATTCACTTCTGCAACATAAATTTTCTTTGTCACTCTTTCCTCATCCATTCTTTCCACATGACCAAACCACCGAAGCATTCCTTTCTTAATCCTGGTCACAACATCATCTTGCAAACCACACTCTTCTCTTATCACACAATTTTTCACCCTGTCATTCAGATTCAGCCCTAACATACTCCTTAAAGACCGCATTTCTACTGCATTTATTCTACTCTCGTGCTTCTTCTGCCACACCCAACTTTCACTACCATACGTTAAAGTAGGGACCAACACAGCATTGTGAATTGCCATACGTGCCTTTTTCGACACATTTTGACTCTTCACAATAGAGTGCAGGGCTCCATTTACTCTGTTTCCTGCGTTCACTCGTCCTTCTATATCTTTATCATATCTCCCATCCCTGCTAAATACGCAACCCAAATATACAAACTCATCTACTTGCTCGATCAACTCCCCTTCTATTCTTATTTCACATATCGTTTTATTTTCATCTCTTTCAAAAACCATAATTTTTGTCTTACTTGCGTTCACTTTCATACCCCTTTCTTTTAATGATCTGTTCATTAATGTAACCATCATTGCAACTCAGCCGCCGACGACGCAAGAATAACTTGATCATCGGCGTACAAAAGGCATTTGATGGTTAACTCACCCATTCTTAATCCGCATTCTTCAACTTTCAAATTTTGCAAACAACTGTCCATAAATAGGCTGAACAACCACGGGGGAAGCCACACAGCCCTGTCTGACACCTTTATGGATGCCAAACCAGTCCGAGTAGACCCCGTTGATCCTAACACAAGCACTAGAGTCCCTATAAAGAGATTCCAATGCCTGTATCAAGCCAGCGCTCAACCCAAATGAGTTCAGTGTTTGCCATAGCACATTCCTATCCACTCTGTCATAGGCCTTCTCCAAGTCCATGAACGCACAAAAAACCTTTTGGTTTTTGGCCAAAAACTTCTCCGCGATCATGCGCATGGAGAAGACTTGATCTGTACATCCCATTCCCTTTCTAAATCCCGCTTGCACATCCCAAATTTTTCCATCGGTTTCTTTCATGACCCTTTCAATTAGTACCTTGGCATACAGTTTTTCCCACGATGCTAAGAAGGCTGATACCGCGGTAGTTTTTACAGTCCTGCTGCGACCCTTTTCCCTTATATACTGGGACTATCACGGCTTTGCACCAGTCTCCCGGTACCCGCTTCAGTTCCCAGCATAAATTAAACAAGGTGTGCAGCAGGCCTGCCACCACTTCCTCTCCAGCCCTTAGCATTTCGAGTGAAACTCTATCATATCCGGCAGCCTTACCTGCTTTCATGCTTTTCATTGCTTTCATTATTTCATCTATACTTATCTCGCTACCTCCTTCCTCTTCTTTCGGAGTTCCTATTTCATTCAGTTCATACGTTGTCTCCTCACTCATAAACATGCTTTCAAAATATTCCTTCCATCTCTTTAAACTCAAAACTTCATCATTCAGAATATAGCCATTCTCATCTCTTATAGCATTCATTATAGGCTGTTTTGAACATCCCCTGGCAGTTCTTACGAGTTTCCAGAACATTTTAATATTTGCCTGGAAGTTATCCGATATTCTTCTATCATTCTTATCCGTTCTTTCTTGCTTTTTCCTTTCAACTACTTCTTTTACTCTTTTATTTAGATGTCTAAAGACTGCCTTTTTTCTTTCAAAATCATCATTCGTACCGCTAGAATTACCAGCCTTAGTTGCTAGTAAATCTAGCCATGCTCTCTTTTTTGCTTCAACTTCCGTACATATCTCATCATCCCACCATAACGTATTATTTTTCCTTTCATTCTTTCTTTTACTAACACCACATACTTCGGTAGCTGCATCTACTAAACCTTTCTTAACATTTTGCCATACATTCTCCAAGTCTAACTCATTCATACATAATTCATCCAAACCACTTACGTTTTCTTTCAGTCTACATTTAAACTTGTTTTTCTCACCTTCATCTTGTAATCTTTCTGTTCTAATACGCTGTAACGCAGTGGTAGACACAGATGACCGATGGCGCCACCGCCTGAATAGACCATTAATTCGGCATAAAACCAAAAAATGATCCGTTCCTACGTTTGACCCCCGGTAAACCCTTGTATCCACCACTGCGCCCCTCAATCTTTCATCCACAATTATGAAATCTATCATGCTTCTATCATCACCTCTTTCCCAAGTGTACATGTGAATCCTCTTGTGGCGAAAGAAAGTGTTCGTCACAAAAAGATTCTTTTCCATACATACAGTGAGGAGGCTTTCACCATTCTCATTTATACTTTCATCACCAAACGTTCCCAATATGCTTTCATATCCAAGTCTCCTCACCCCAACTCTTCCATTAAAATCTCCTAGCATAACAACATTTTCATTTTCCCTTACATTTCATTAATACCATCCTTACTATTTCCCAAAACTGCTCTCGGATATGAGTGGGCTTAGACATGTCTGGAGCGTAGACCCCTAGCACAAACAACTTCTTTAAGTCCACTTTCAATCGTATCCATAGCAGTCTTGGGCTTACACATTCATACTCTTTCACACATTGCACCATTCTTTCTGATAGGATGATACCTACTCCCTGGCATGCCCGCTCGAGCTCGTCTACACCAGATCAGTATGCGGTATACATGCCATGTGTAGTGACATCCTTCCCCTTCCGTTTCGTCTCATTTACACATAACAAATCTATTCCTCTATCATACATCACCTCGCATACTTCATCCATTTTATCATTCATTGCTCCACATACATTCAACGTAGCCAGACGGGCCTCTGCAATCCACTTTTCGCCCCTCCGGGAGACAGAACGTGACGGGTGGCGAGCCTCGTCGCCGGTTTTCCTCCCGGAGATTCTTCGCACCCCTGCCCCATTAAAGGGCCGCCGGGAACTCGGGGCCATTTCTTTAATTTGATTCCTCATGGTGCGAATGGGGTGGTATATTTAACGCCGCTACCACGGCGAGGAGCCGAGTCTGTGCTATCGGCTTGTCGCTCATTTAGCACCACCCGGGGGACACGTGTAGGGTGGGCCTAGGATTAGGTGGTCAAAGCCTACGGACGCGAGCGACTTATCCCCCCTACAGACGCGAGCGACTTATCCCCTTTTTTATCCCCCGTTTATTTTATATGTGCGATTTATTTTATACATGGTAGAGCCATGCTGCAATTATATTAGTAGTATAGTTGTAGCACGAATGGGTCGGCTCGACCGGGGAAGGACCACGCTCTCACAGAATACCAACGTAAAATAGTAGCTTAATGCTGCTGTGTTTTGTATGGTGAGTGTAGAGACCGGAGACCCTTTTTACTGGAAACGAGGCATTCCATCTTAGTCCTCAGGGATGACAATGCATCTGCGTTTTGATTCTTAATCGAGGATAAATGTAGATGTCTATGGGCCACAGTATCTACTTATCATCAAGTGGATTGTGTGCTCGTTTGACACCCGTATTCTATAAAAAGAATCAATACTTCATTTTAGTTGAAAATTACCTTCAATAAATTGTTATACTCCATCTGCTCCAGTAAGTTCCTCTGATGCTGCTTCTTCGCCTCTGCATCTGTTTTCTTTTTGTGTTCAACCAGCTGTTGTAGCTGAGCCGAGAGTTGTCTGTAGTATTCGTTTTCTTCTGCCATCTTTTGTTTGAGTAATTCCTTGGCCTCCTGACGCTCTTTAATCTGATCTTTCATTGCTTGACGAACTTCCTATTGGTGTAATAAATTAATGATTTTTTTTATCTCATCAAAAGTCTACTGCGGACCACTTGCCTCGCACATATACACACATGTGCCACACATGCGGCATGAATTAGTCGACTTCGATCGATAGTTTCTACCATATCGATTGTTCGATGGCATCAATCAATGGTGGCATGAATTAGTCGACGTTAATCGATAGTTTCTACCACATCGATCGATTGATTGATGCCATCGATCAATTTTGGCATGAATTAATCGACGTTGATCGAAAGTTTCTGCCACATCGATTTATTGATGGCATCGGCCAATGGTGGCATGAATTAGTCGACGTTGATCGATATTTTCTACCACATCGATTGATCGATAGCATCGATTCATGGTGGCATGAATTAGTCGACGTTGATCGGTAGTTTCTACCACATCGATTGACCGTTGGCATCGATTCATGGTGGCATAAATTAGTCGACGTTGATCGATATTTTCTACCACATCGATTGATCGATAGCATCGATTCATGGTGGCATGAATTAGTCGACGTTGATCGATAGTTTCTACCACATCGATTGACCGTTGGCATTGATTCATGGTGGCATAAATTAGTCGACGTTGATCGATATTTTCTACCACATCGATTGATCGATAGCATCGGTCAATGGCGGCATGAATTAGTCGACGTTGATCGATAGTCGTACATCAATTGATCGTTGGCATCGATTCATGGTGGCATGAATTAGTCGACGTTTATCGATAGTTTCTACCACATCGATTGACCGTTGGCATCGATTCTTGGTGGTATTAATTAGTCGGTGTTGATTGATAGTTTCTACCACATCGATTGTTCGTTGGCATCGATCCATTGTGGCATGAATTAGTCGACGTTGATCGATAGTTTCTACCACATCGATTGATTGATAGCATCGGTCAATGATGGCATGAATTTGTCGACGTTGATCGATAGTTTCTACCACATCGATTGATCGTTGGTATCGATTCATGGTGGCATGAATTAGTCGACGTTGATCGATAGTTTCTACCACATCGATTGATCGATGGCATCGATTGATAGTGAAATGGCTTAGTCGACGTCGATCGAGCTTCTTTATTATTCGAAAACCCGCCGTGCTCCACCGACCGCTACCTATTGTCCTCTTCAGAATAGATTTTGAACGATAGGTACTCATGATGAGCCTACAACCACATCATCAATTGCCGATCGACGTCGATCGATGATTGAACAAAATTTTATTGACCAGTATCCGTCGATTAGCTAAAGCCATCTCACCAATTGGCCTCCACAATAATGGCATCGATCGACTATCGATCGATTGATGTGGTAGCACCCTAATAGGTAACGGCTGAAAATTTACAATATGGGGCGAGATTAAGTAATGCACGTGAGCTGTGAGTAACTACCTATAAAAAACTAAAAAAGCTGTCACACAGTAAAACCATAACATCATATTTATTTTCTACAAGTTATTGGGCAAAAAGATCGTTCTAATGGAAAGTTAATCAAAAATGGCAACATATCCCTACCTCGTTGGTCCTTCGAGACCATTTCAAATATTCGCATCGAGTTAGATCCATCACGTCTTGATTCCGCTGCGCTTGTTCTCTTCTGTGTACATCATCTTGAGCTTCCATCTCCGTCAACTGCTTCTTTAGCTCTATAAGCTTCTTATTGCATTCATCTAATTCTTTCTAGAAAGAAGATGATAATGTGAAATGATGACATGGAATGGAAATGTATTGGTCTGACATGTTTTTATATCAAATAGGGATGTATGAGCCTATAGCTTTTTTGAAAAATTGTATTGACAAACTTATGGTCCCAATGATAGTTATGCCCCATTTACACTCAGCCTTGTTGGGCAGGGAAGTGGGCAGCGCGTGTATGTAAATAGGGTACACACGCTGTCACTCCCCATGCCGCTACCACTGCCCGGCGCCCCCTCGATTGTCGGTTTTTCTTGCGAAAGTCAAAGGCCCGCCCTTTGACAGTGCGAGCGGGAGCGAGTATTTACATTCTCGCTCACTCCCTTGCCGCCGAAGTTCGACCGAGAAAGAACGTGGTACGTTTAAAAATGGCAATTTATTTATTAAGGGAATAGAGTAAGTCAGCTCAAATTATAATTTCGTCCCCGCTTGCCCGCGCGTCGTATGCTATGTACCGACATGTTTGTAATCACTAATACTGTAAGTAGATAGGTCGTTAGATACTTATTTCATTAGGTTTATCATATTTATGCCTGTTTCTTAACGCCAAGCCAGTCGCTTCTTATTTTTATTACGGTTATTTACCATTTTAATTTTACGTCGTCCTGTTGCGTAATGTATATTCTGATCGTAAGCGACAAAACCTCCCCGTTCAAAGGCCGAAGCGAAGTGACCGTGCGGCAGGAATCACGCTTCAAAAGGCCGATAGTTTAGGTAATTTCTTTTTACAGTGCAAATAATGGTATTTAAAAAAAAAGTAAATAACATAAGCACTGCTTTATAGTTAGTTCAGTTAGTATGCAAAGTTTCATGATCTTTATGAATAACAGCGGTTCATTGTTTATTTTGGAGGTAACTTTGGATTTTTTTTTCTATCGAGAAAATTTTACGAAATCGTGTTTTCGTCTAACATAATCCTTAACATTAATCCTCAACTTTACCATATATTTATTTCAAAATTAATGCTGCAATATTTTCGGCATAACGAAGGATCTTGCTAAGCCGTTTGAGATTATATTTCCCCTTAATATGTCCTGTGTTTTAGTGATATTAAGTAATGATAAAATAATTAAATTTTTAGAACTTTATGAAATTGAGCGGGTAATATGGGATCATTTCCATTTTTATGTGGTAGAGCCATGCTGCAGCTATATTCTGATTGCAGCAAGAATGGGTCGGCTGACCGGGGTAGGACCACGCTCTCACAGAATACCAGCGTAAAATAGCAGCTCAATACTGCTGTGTTACGTATGGTGAGTGTAGAGAACCGAAGACCCTTTTTACTGGAAACGAGGCATTCCATCTCAGTCCTCAAGGCTGGCAACGCATCAGATTTTGATTCTTAATTGAAGATAAATGTAGTTGTCTATGGGCCACAGCATTCACTTACCATCAGGTGGACTGTGTGCAGTTTGTCACACTTATTCTATAAAAAAATCCTCATGATAAAAACCATAAATTGCACGTAGTAGCTACTTATACTGAGCAGGCATAATACTGTCACACCAGCAAACTTGACGTCAGTCATTGTTGCGAGTTGATCAATAAAAGAAGTATGAAGGCTGAGTGTAAACACCCACTCGCATCGTTGTTGCCGCGGAAGTATTTAAGGAAATATTTCCGGCAGTGACAGGAGCAGTAGCAGTGGCTGAGTGTAAATGGGGCATTAGTATATACTGCAGTCCATTGACACTTGTAGCTAAGTTTAAAAAAGAAAGGTTACAGATGCATTGTCACTTCTGAGTCAAATTTGAATGGATATGAATGTACAATGGAGGTATGTCACAGCCTGTAATTATACAGGCTTTCTATACCCTTTAGACCAGAACACAGCAGTGCAGGCACTGCTTTTGGTGGCAGAAATAGAATAAAACAGAATCGAATAGAATCAATTTTAATCAAAACTAATTACATGTAGGTAATTCTTATTGAAAGTAATTTTGCACGCCGCACAACGCGCGAGCGTGTGGGAGTGCTCTACTCTTGACATTCCTCTATGTGACGATTTTGCGATATAAAATTGTTGGTATGTCTCAATTTAGACACTTATAAAGAGGGATGTTTTCAAAACTACATATATTTTATTATAAAGTCGCCGTATTTTTAAGCTATTGCATAGCTTTTATCGCGAGCTTTGACCGCGGCGACCGAATCAAGAAATTCCGTAAGGAAAAAAACCTAAGACCCGAAAACCTAACATCGTCTAACGTCGTTTAAGTTCGGCATACTTCGGCACGGTGTTTGTGTGCGTGCTACTAGAGTCTAGTAGCATACGTCTAGTAACTAGACGTATGCGTGTAGACTAGTTGCATGTATTTTAAGATAATAACAATATTTCAAACAATAATATAGTTTATTCATCATTTCATCATCATTACAGTCCTTCACAAGTCCACTGCTGAACATAGGCCTCCCCCAAGTAACGCCACAAAGCACGGTCCTGAGCCACCTGCATCCATCGACTTCCTGCATGTCTTACCAGGTCGTCACTCCATCTAGTGGGGGGTGGCCCTACACTACGCCTACCGGTACGAGGCTGCCACTCGAGAACCTTTCTTCCCCATCGGTTATCGGTTCTTCGAGCTATATGGCTGGCCCATTGCCACTTCAGCTTACTAATCCGTTCGGCTATGTCGGTGACTCTGGTTCTACTGCGGATATCCTCATTTCTGAGTCTATCACGCAGAGAAACTCCGAGCATAGCCCTCTCCGCCCTCGCTGAGCGACTTTGAGCGTCCTCATACGGCCAGCAGTGAAGGACCACGTCTCTGATCCGTAAGTCATCACTGGCAACACGCACTGGTTGTACATTTTAGTTTTCAGAGATTGAGGTATACCTGACATGAAGATGTGTCGTAATTTCCCGAACGCTGCCCAGCCGAGTTGAATCCGTCGATTGACCTCTCGGTCGAAGTTGGACTTACCTAGTCGGACTATTTGTCCCAGGTAAACGTACTCGTCAACAACTTCGAGCATAGTGCTCCCAACACCTACCGGCATAGGTGTGACATGGACATTAAACATGATGTTTGTTTTGTCCATGTTCATCTTAAGACTTATCCGTTGGGAGACACCATTGAGGTCATTGAGCATAGTGCTAAGGTCCTCCAGCGATTCTGCCATAAGGACTATATCGTCGGCAAATCGAAGGTGAGTGATGTACTCGCCATTGATGTTAATACCGTATCCTTGCCAATCCAATAGCTTGAAAACGTCTTCCAACGCAGCGGTGAAGAGTTTCGGGGATATAACGTCACCCTGTCTTACACCTCTCTGCAGTTGGATACGCTTCGAACTCTGGTTCTGTACTCGGATAGCCATCGTCGCCCTACTGTACAAACACTTCAGCACTTCGATATACCGACAGTCAACTTGGCACCGCTGAAGGGACTGTAGCACCGCCCAAATTTCGACGGAATCAAAGGCTTTCTCACAGTCCACATACGCCAGGCAAAGTGGCAGATTGTACTCCTCGGTCTTCTGTACAATCTGCCGCAGGGTATGTATGTGGTCTATGGTACTGAAGCCTTTTCGGAAACCGGCTTGTTCGGGAGGCTGGAAGTCGTCGATATAGTTTATTGCAAGAATCATATTCTACGGATTTATATGAGTCGTCATGCTAGCAACTTTCGTGAATTTAGAGTATTTAATAAACACAGACTTTATAGAAAATTATCGTTTGTCGGAAGAACTCGTTAATTACTATAAACCTGTAATTTCAATGATAAAAATTCCTGAGTAACTTACATCTATTGTAAGATAATAAAAATATTTAAAAAAAATACGTGTGGCCCTCGGTGACTGCCGCGGTAAAGCTATTGCATAGCATTTTTTATCAACTGATGCAATTATAATTATTTATTTATTTTATTTATGCAGCTAAGTCTTTGATATTAAATCAAGTTACACTTTTTGAGCGTGATGACCGATAAGAAAACAATTTTTTTTCTCTTATTGAATAAATGAGAAGTTAATATTGTTTAAAATATTTTTAATATCTTACAATACATGTAGGTTATTCAGGAATTTTTATCATTTAGTTAGCAGCTCACAAACACCGTGCCGAAGTCCGCCGAGTGCCGAAGTCTGCCGAACTGAAACGACGTTAGACGATGCACGGCTTTCAACGCCACACCTCCGTGCCCGTCGGAGTGGGGAGCGTGAGGTTTTTTTCGTTACGGAATTTCTGGATTCGGTCCCCGCGCTCAAGGCCCGCGATAGAAGCTATGCAATAGCTTAACAATATTAACTTCTCATTTATTCAATAAAAGAAAAAAAGACGTTAGGCACTTGGGGACTGCCGCGGTAAAGCTATTGCATAGCATTTTGTATCAACTTATGCAATTATAATTATTAATATAAGGACTACGTAAATATTCAGTACAGCAAGATTGGAAGAAAAATGACGTCTAAATATTTTTTCGTATTTAGGAAACGAATAACTAGTTGGTAAATTAATCATAATATATATCTTTTTTTTCGCCGGAGACTAAAATGATATTGCTTTTTTTCGTAATTGCAGATTCTGTGGATTTATTTCATTATTTTGAACAATATACGAAATTAAAGTGACTAAAATTAAAACTAATCTGAACCAGAATCATAAAAACTGTATTATTCGTGCTAAACGAATCTAATAAATATCTGTTATTTTTGTCTCCTGCGAAAAAAACAGACTATAGGAATCTATCGAATACCTACATAAACAAAATATCACCTATAAATAAAATATTACAAAGCGGAATAACTAATAAGAGTGGCAACGTCGCACTATACAAAGGAATTGCGTAGGTGGCACAAGTCGCCGGCTCGAACTCATTGGTGGGCGCGGTCAAAAAGCACATTGTCTCACTTGACATCGTGCCACTCGTACTAAATTATTAGGCGCTGCGTTATCGCTTTATACTATACCTCTATAGCTCTATAGATAACTAATATAGATTGCTTATTTTATTATGTTTGTTTGTTTAGTTTTCCCCGGGTGG